ACCCCTCCCCAAAATCCCTGTGACCCCCCCAGAAATCCATGGGGACACCCCCGGCAATGTCCCCAAAATCCTTGGGGACACCCCCAGGAATGTCCCCAACCCACCCTGGGTGTCCCCAGACCCCTCCCCAAATTCACCAGGAGCCCCCAAATTCCTCGGGTCCCCCCTCCCCTCCAGGGGCCTCGCCCCCTCCCCAAAATATTTTGGGGTGTTCTGGGGGGGTGGCGGGGGCAGAGCATTGCCCCCTCCCCAAATTTGGGGCTGGGGACTCCCTACATTTGGGGGGAAACCCCCAAAAAGGGGTTCCCCAATATTTTGGGGGGGGTCGCACCCTGACCAACCCCCCCCTCCCCAAATTTCCTTGCAGGAGGCGTGGGGCAGCCCCCCCCCATCGCGGCCCCCCCCGCGGAGGTAAGGGGGGTTTGGGGGGGATTTTTGGGGTGATTTTGGGGTTTTTTGGGGGTTTTTGGGGTGATTTGGGGGGGCTGACGCTCTGTGCTCTCTCCGCAGCCCCCCCGGCTTTTCCGCTCCCCCCTGGGGCTGCACCCTAGGGACAGTGCCACCCTGGGGACAGTGCCACCCTTGGGGACAGTGCCACCCTTGGGACAGTGCCACCCTTGGGGACAGTGCCACCCCCGTGTCCCCATGTCCCCAACAACGCGGGGGGAAGGGGAGGTGAGGGGAGGGGTCCTGGGCGGGTGGTGACAATGGTGACATCGGTGACAATGGTGACATCGGTGACAATGGTGTCGCTGTCCCCAGGTGCCACACCCCGGTGCCACCAAGGACTGTCTGCTGCTCTGCGCCGCCGGCCTGCGCCCCCCGCCCGCGCCCCCCGGGACCCCCCCCTAATTCGGGGCTGTCCCCGGGGTGTCCCCGGGGTGTCCCCAGGGTGTCCCCGAGGTGTCCCCTCCTCCACTTTGTTGCACTTGACCCCCCCTTTCCCACGGGGGGGGGCGCCTGTACAGAGACCCCCCCCCAAAATTTGAGACCCCTCCCCAAAATCCGAGACCCCTCCCCAAAATCACGGGACCCCGCCCCAAAATCGCACCGGGCACTGAGAGGGGGGGGCGGGTCCCCAAATCTGAGACCCCTCCCCAAAATCCTGTCCCCGCTCTGTCTCTCGCTGTCCCCTCGGTGTCCCATTGCTGTCCCCTCAATGTCCCCGCGCTGTCCCTCAATGTCCCTGCTCTGTCCCTCAGTGTCCCCGCTCTGTCCCCTCAGTGTCCCCGCTCTGTCCCCTTGGTGTCCCTCAGTGTCCCCACGCTGTCCCCTCAGTGTCCCCACGCTGTCCCCTCAGTGTCCCCGCTCTGTCCCTCGCTGTCCCCACTCTGTCCCCTCAGTGTCCGGTCCAACCCAGCCTGTCCCCGTTCTGTCTCTCGGTGTCCCCTCAGTGTCCCCGCTCTGTCCCTCAGTGTCCCCTCGGTGTCCTCGCTCTGTCCCTCAATGTCCCCACGCTGTCCCCTCAGTGTCCCCGCTCTGTCCCTCGGTGTCCCCTCAGTGTCCCCGCTCTGTCCCTCGGTGTCCCCACTCTGTCCCCTCAGTGTCCGGTCCAACCCAGCGTGTCCCCGTTCTGTCCCTCAGTGTCCCCTCAATGTCCCTGCACTGTCCCTCAATGTCCCTCAGTGTCCCCTCAGTGTCCCCGCGCTGTCCCTCAGTGTCCCCACTCTGTCCCCTCGGTGTCCCCGCACTATCCCCCAGTGTCCTCACTCTGTCCCTCGCTGTCCCTGCTCTGTCCCCTCAGTGTCCCCGCTCTCTCCCCACGCTGTCCCCTCAATGTCCCCGCTCTGTCCCTCGGTGTCCCCACTCTGTCCCCTCAGTGTCCGGTCCAACCCAGCGTGTCCCCGTTCTGTCCCTCGGTGTCCCCTCAGTATCCCCGCTCTGTCCCCTCAGTGTCCCCGCTCTCTCCCCTCAGTGTCCCCTCGGTGTCCCCGCGCTGTCCCCTCAATGTCCCCACTCTGTCCCTCAGTGTCCCCTCGCTATCCCCGCGTTGTCCCCTCGCTGTCCCCGCTCTCTCCCCTCAGTGTCCCCTCAGTGTCCCCGCTCAGTGTCCCCTCAGTGTCCCCGCTCTGTCTCTGTGTCCCCGCTCTCTCCCCTCAGTGTCCCCTCGGTGTCCCCTCCCCGGCCACGCCGGTGCCACCCGGGTGCCAAAAAGTCTCTTTAGTATAAATAACGGGGGGGGCGCGGTGGCCCCGCGGGGACAATAAAGTGACGAAGGCACGGGGGGGGGAGGGGAGGGGACCAGACTCACAGAGACCCCGGGCCGTGCCCAGGTGCAGATGAGCCCCTCCTGGCAGGCTGGCACAATACAAACCTGGAGCTCCTGACACCCCAAACCCCCCTCAAACACCACAAATTTCCTCTAAATCCCCTCTGAGACCCCCCAAATCCCCTCGGAGACCCCTCCCCAGACTCACAGAGACCCCGGGCCGTGCCGAGGTGCAGATGAGCCCCTCCTGGCAGGCTGTCACCATACAAACCTGGAGCTCCTGACACCCCAAACCCCCCTCAAACACCACAAATTTCCTCTAAATCCCCTCTGAGACCCCCCAAATCCCCTCGGAGACCCCTCCCCAGACTCACAGAGACCCCGGGCCGTGCCCAGGTGCAGATGAGCCCCTCCTGGCAGGCTGGCACAACACAAACCTGGACCTCCTGACACCCCCAAACCCTACCCCAGACCCTCAAATCCCCTCTAAACCACCCCAAATCCCCTCGGAGACCCCCCAAATCCCCTCGGAGACCCCTGCCCGCACTCACAGAGACCCCGGGCCGTGCCCAGGTGCAGATGAGCCCCTCCTGGCAGGCCGTCACGATGCAATCCTCCAGGAACAGCAGCACCGTCAGCCTCTCCTGGGCCATTTTCTTGCACACCAGCGGCTCCAGCAGCGGCACCTCGTGCAGCCGCGGGCACAGCGCCGTGCCCAGCACCTTGGCCATGTCCAGAGACCCCCGCGAGCCCCCCGGGCCGCCGCCGGGGGGGGGTTTCTCGGCGTTGCCCCCTCCCCGGCTGATGTTGCCCAGGCTGTGGTAACGTTTGTGCTCCTTCTCGGGGGCGCCGCGGGGGTCCCGCAGGGTCAGCGTGGCGAAGCGCCCCACGCTCAGCACCGGGGGGACCCGCGGCGAGACCTGGGGACCCCCGCCGGGCTGCGGGAGGCTGTTGGAGCGGGACAGCGAGCGCGGCAGCCCCGGCACGGAGGGCGGCGGGTCCCCGGCGGCGGGGGGGGCGCGGGGGGGGGGCGGCCGGGGGGCCAGCACGTCCTCGGTCAGGTCCCACGGCACTGCGGGTGACACGGGGGACCCCGGCGGGTGACACGGGTGTGTCCCGACGGGTGACACGAGCGACACGGTGACCCGGGAGGTGACACGGGTGTGTCCTGGCGGGTGACACGTCAGGTGACACGGGTGACACGGGTGTGTCCTGGCGGGTGACACGGCGGGTGACACGGGTGTGTCCTGGCGGGTGACACGGCGGGTGACACAGGTGACAGCTACACCACGGTGCCACTCGGGGAGCCGCCGTTCTGCGAGGACAGGCCCTGCGGGGGGAAGGAGGGAGGGAGGGGACAGCGGTGTCACCGGGGGAGGGGACACACGCCACTCCCTGTGACGTCACCGCGGGGACACCCCGGGGATTCCCCCCCAAGGCTCCGCCCCGTCCCCAAAATCCGCGGTTTGTCCCCCAAAAACTCAACCCGGACAGCCCGAATCCCATCCGGGACACCCCAAATCCCCCCTAAACCACCCCAAATCCCATCCGGGACACCCCGAATCCCCTCCCGGACACCCCAAAACCCCCTAAACCACCCCAAATCCCATCCGGGACACCCCAAAACCCCTCTAAACCACCCCAAATCCCATCCAGGACACCCCAAATCCCATCCGGGACACCCCGAATCCCATCCGGATACCCCAAATCCCCCCTAAACCACCCCAAATCCCCCCTAAACCACCCCAAAACCCCTCCGGGATGTCCCAAATCCCCTCTAAACCACCCCAAAACCCCTCCGGGACACCCCAAAACCCCTCCCGGACACCCCGAATCCCCTCCCGGATGCCCCCAGACCCACGGGGAGCCTCGGGTCGCCCCCGGGGACAGACGAGCCTGTCCCGAGATCCTGTCACCATGTGGTCCTGGTGATGCTGGGACCCCAAAATCCCCCCAAATCCCCACTAAACCACCCCAAATCCCCTCTGAGAGCCCCAAATCCCCTCGGAGACCCCCCAAATCCCCTCGGAGACCCCTCCCCAGACTCACAGAGACCCCGGGCCGTGCCCAGGTGCAGATGAGCCCCTCCTGGCAGGCTGGCACCTTACAAACCTGGACCTCCTGACACCCCAATTCCTCCCTAAACCATCCCAAATCCTCTCTGAGACCCCCCAAATCCCCTCGGAGACCCCTCCCCAGACTCACAGAGACCCCGGGCCGTGCCCAGGTGCAGATGAGCCCCTCCTGGCAGGCCGTCACGATGCAATCCTCCAGGAACAGCAGCACCGTCAGCCTCTCCTGGGCGATTTTCTTGCACACCAGCGGCTCCAGCAGCGGCACCTCGTGCAGCCGCGGGCACAGCGCCGTGCCCAGCACCTTGGCCATGTCCAGAGACCCCCGCGAGCCCCCCGGGCCGCCGCCGGGGGGGGGTTTCTCGGCGTTGCCCCCTCCCCGGCTGATGTTGCCCAGGCTGTGGTAACGTTTGTGCTCCTTCTCGGGGGCGCCGCGGGGGTCCCGCAGGGTCAGCGTGGCGAAGCGCCCCACGCTCAGCACCGGGGGGACCCGCGGCGAGACCTGGGGACCCCCGCCGGGCTGCGGGAGGCTGTTGGAGCGGGACAGCGAGCTCATGGGGCTCCCGAGGGTTCCTGGTGGCCCCGGGGAGGTCCTGCAGGTCCCAAAGGGTTCCCGGTGGCCCTGGGGAGGTCGGGCTGGTCCCAGAGGGCTCCCAAGGGTTCCTGGTGGTCCCATGGGTGATCCCAAGGGCTCCTGGTGGCCCCGGTGGCCCCTCACCTCCTCGTTGAAGAGCCGCCCGGCGCTGTCCTTCTTGGCCAGGTCCAGGTACTGCACCTGGCCGGCCGAGAAGCCCACGAGCAGCGGCAGCGTCTCGGCGCCCGCCGTGAACTGGTTGAAGTCGTGGCACGTGGGCTGCGTGCCCTTGTACACGCGCTTGTCGATGGGCCGCTGCAGGTCCAGCGCCTGCGGACACGGCACAGCGCGCTGGCACCCGCGGGGTGGCACTGGCACCTCCATGGTGGCACCTCCATGGTGGCACCGGCACCGCCACAGTGGCACTGGCACCCACGGGGTGGCACTGGCACCGCCACAGTGGCACTGGCACCGCCTCAGTGGCACGGGCACCGGCAGGGTGGCACTGGCACCTCCATGGTGGCACTGGCACCGCTATGGTGGCACTGTCACAGGCAGGGGATGTCACCCCCGGTGCTCCTCAAGGACTCTGTGCCCACCCTGGGTCACCAAAGGGGCTGCCAGGAGGGTCCTGGGGTCACTGTCACTGTCACCAGTGAGGTGGCACCGGCACTGGCGGGGTGGCACTGGCACCTCCATGGTGGCACTGTCACAGGCAGGGGATGTCACCCCCGGTGCTCCTCAAGGACTCTGTGCCCACCCCGGGCCACCACTGGGGCTGTCACCAACCCTGTAATCACTGTCACTGTCCCTGGGGTCACTGTCACTGTCTCTGGGGTCACTGTCACCAACCCTGGGTCACTGTCACTGTCCCTGGGTCACTGCCACCCACCCTGGGGTCACTGCCACCAACCCTGGGGTCACTGTCACCAACCCTGGGGTCACTGTCACTGTCCCTGGGTCACTGCCACCCACCCTGGGGTCACTGTCACCAACCCTGGGGTCACTGTCACTGTCCCTGGGGTCACTGTCACTGTCCCTGGGGTCACCTTTGCCCTCACTCCCC